ATTACAAAAAATAATTCGTATTTTAAGTAAATCTCAAAAGGTGTATTTATAATTTACCCTATTTAAAATTATGACATAAATATATAGCATACATATACCCTGAAATGGGGACAAAAATGTACTACTAAAGATCAAAACAAAGAGAACAAAAGAAAATGTTCCAAGGAGAATTAAAGCATAAGAAACAAAACAACAAAAGGACAATAGATATCAGTCCTATTAACAGACAAAAGAGAGTGAAATATTATTCAGATTCTCCATATCTTTGGATGCCCAGAAAGAGAATAAAACAAATAATAAGAAAAATTTGTTCCAAATCTGAAAATAAATAAATAAATTATAGTCAAACACACAACATCGGGAAATATGTAGCAACCTATTGAAGTATTCCAACTCTTTCCAAATCTCTCTATGCTATTATTCAAAAAGGAGCAGTTTATTTGGAGTCCTGAAACTATTATCCTAGAGTTTTTTTTTTTAATTTTTTTTTAAAATGACCCTTAATTTCTTACACTTATATCAGTTTGTAATAAGAATAAAATGATAAATTAAAATAGAACAATTCTACTTTCCCATTTCCCATGTCTCCAAATTGCTGTGCAGTTCTAAATCAGTTTAAACATCTTCACTGAAAAGTTTTAAAACGTGCTTTTTATGAAACTGCATTTGTTTTGATGGATGCTAGGCGGAGTCTCTTTTGAAAGCCTCCCTACGAATATGTGATTGGCTGTAAAGGCCCTTTGATGATGTGGAGGGTTGTGAGGCTTATGAAAAAATGGGCGACAAGGCCCTATTCCAGATGGATTCACCATCATATTATTGTGCAGAAATATATATATATATATATATATTTTTTTTTTTCTCTCCCTTTTGGGAGAAAGACTATTCAACAATGTTCCAATGTTATGCTTCTCTTGCAAGTTTGTGGAGTAGTTATCCAAAGTATATCTTGGTTTGGGAAGGGGGTTGGCTTTTTGACTTTTTGATTTTTTTTGGCTATTTTAGGCAAAAAAGCTTAGTTTGGGAAAGACTTTTGGCTTTTTGGTTTTTTTTTGTGAGAGAAGAGTGTAATGATTATGGGTTGGATGTAATGCTTTGTTTTTTGTGACTAAAATAGCATATTTTGTCTTTTGTGACTAAAATAGCCAAAAAAACCCCTAACCCAACTTGCCAAACGGAGGCATATCTACTGCTTATGCTTATCCGACATTATAAGTGTAATATTGTTAAATATATTTTTATTTTTTTTATTAAAAAATTTCATTATGTAATTAGGTTCTTTGGAAAAAAAAAAAAGAAAAAAAAGAGCGAAGCATTAGAAAATAGAGAGAGATTTCTTGGGTTTGTATTTTCTATTTGGTATGTTTTATATTTTTCTATTCAATTTTATAAATGGGTATTGGTGCAATTTACTTATGTCCGTTTGGCAAGAGTTAAATGGGGTTTTTTTTGACTATTTTAACCACAAAAGACAAAATAGGCTATTTTAGCCACAAAAAACAACATATCACATCCAACCCATAATCATTACATTCTTCTCTCACAAAAAAAGTCAAAAAAGCCAAAAAGCCCTTCCAAACCAAACTTTTTAGCCCAGGCTAAAATAGTTAAAAAAGCTAAAAAATTAAAAAGTCAACCCACTTCTCAAACGGAGGCTAAGAGTTGTTATCCCCTGTTTCACTTTGTTAATCTTTGATATATTTTATATTTTGTATGTTTCTTTCTTTGTTTCACTTTTGTTTGTTTCTCCTATTTTTTGAACTCAATTTTTTTAAGGTTCTACGTTTCAATTTGGCCTGGCGTGGAGTTTTAGTAAAAATTTGTATATAATAAGTGCATTTAATTGTTATGATTTTATTTTTCTTTATGTCTATCAAATTTATTTGACTATGAGTGTTCTAAGTATCTTGGGTTTGTACTTTCCTATTTTGTGCTTTTGTATATTTATATTCAATTTTTTTTTTCTAAAAATTGTGAAGCATAAAATATATACAATTATTTAAACTTAGAAGTGGGTTGGCTTTTCGGCTTTTCGGTTTTTTTGGCTATTTTAGCTTGGGGTAAAAAACTTGGTTTGGGAAGGACTTTTTGACTTTTTTTGTGAAAGAAAAATGTAATAATTATGGATTGGATGTGATGTTTTGTTTGTTATGGCTAAAATAGCCACAAACCAACTTGCCTAACGGATCTTTAGACTTAAATAGTTTGGGATTTTTTAAGTTTTACTTTTTAAGCTTTTGTTTGTTTTTGTGTATAAATTGATTTTTTTTAAAATTTGGTTTGTTTGTTTGTGTTTTAAAAAATAAAAATAAAAATTCACTATTCCTATGTGTTTTGGATTTGTATTTTTTTTTTCTATTTTGTTTGCTTCCGTATTGTTATATTCAATTTTTTTTTTTTAAATTGCGAAGCAGAAAATGTGTCACGACCTAAACTCGCCCCTATAGGTTTAGTGCCAGAACCGGCTAGTAATCTTGGGATTACTAAAGACCTCTAAAAAAATCTAAACAAAATACAGGAGCTAGCGGAAGTAATTACAAACAAATAATCGACATACATGTGACAGAAAATTTAAAACTTAATACAAAATCAAGATGTCATACCACATCGCCATCTATACTTACAGACAAACAAAAGACTAGTTCAAACTTAACAAAAGTAATACAAAAAGATCATTGACTTGGTTCACAAAAATTTGACCACTGCAATACAGGAACCTTCTCGGGAGGCACTGTGGCTAGCTGACCAAACAAAACTCCAAGGAACAGCTTAGGCCTGGTCACACGCCTATTCACCTACATACATAAATAATAGAATGAGCTATAGCCCAGTGAATAACAACAGAGTAAAGATTTTATAAATGATGTCCAAAGAGTTTCAAAATTCGTAATTCGTATCGGAAACAGATTCAAAATCGTATACTTATCAGAAATCATAAGCAATATGTGGTACATCCTTTAGCTATCATATCAAATTGGTCTTGGAACTCACATGTATAGTCGGTACCGACGACCCTAAAGGTCCATATCTTGTGCACAAGTAGCCATGGTATTGTTTCCCTCCGGGAAAGGCCATATAACATAGACCACGATATTGTTTCCCCCAGGCGAGGAGCCATATAATCATAAGCCACGGTATTGTTTCCCCCGGACGAGAGCCATATGTATATTGGCCATGGTGTTATTTCCCCCAGGCGAGGGCCACATGAACCTAAGGATGCTGCAAATACATTTCAAAATTGGACATTTATTCATGATTCACAAAATAGCATTTCATAAACCAAATCATATCTTATCACTCTGAAATTACTTTTATTCAAACATAGCGTTACAAAGTTCTTACTCACAGATAGCTCTGATAGTAAAATGGACAAAGCAAACAGATCTGATAGTTTATGGCGCGTGACTTACACAAAAACATAACAAATGCACATTGAAACACACGCTCGAAAAACACTTAACTCATTTCTTTTCTATCTTGGTATGTTTTTAATTCTTATCCCCATTATTATGTCTTAATTAAGGTTTAGGATTGCCTAAGATGCAATAAGGATGCCAAAAAGTACTTCGGAACACTTAGTCAAATTTTAAAAAACAAGGTAGTCTGCTCGAGGCAAAGTTTGCAAAAGTACTGGTTACATGACTATTACGCTCAATAGATACTTGACGGTCGCTCTAGCCAAAGAGTGAGTAAATAGGGTCTCCGCTCGAGCGCAACTTCGGTCGCTTGAGTGGTCTGCAAAGTTTTGCAAAACTTTTAGGAGCTCTAGATTTACGCTCAAGCTTAGACTTCTTCACTCAAGCGGAGGTACAAATATAAGGGTCAATAGATACTTGAGCGGTCTGCAAAGTTTGCAAAAGTACCAGTTACATGACTATTACACTCAACAGATACTTGACGGTCGCACAAGCCAAAGAGTGAGTAAATAAGGTCTCCGCTCGAGCGCAACTTCAGTCGCTCGAGTGGTCTGCAAAGTTTTGCAAAACTTTTAGGAGCTCTAGATTTACGCTCAAGCTTAGACTTCTTCACTTGAGCGGAGGTACAAATATAAGGGTCGTCGCTCGAGCGCAGGTTCTGCCGTTGGAGCCAACCCCAAAACTTTACAAAAGTACTGGGAGCTCGAATTCTTCGCTCGAGCATAGACTCTACCGTTCGAGCGGAGAGTGCAAATTCTGGAATTTCCAGATTTGCTTCTCAGGTTCAAAACTCAATTTTAAACCTTCAAAATACATTATTTTGGGCCAAAACTCAAAATACATTATTTAACATGTAAAAACTCATAATGCATCATGAATTGAAAACCATTTCATAAAATTAAGCCCAAAAGTATAGTCATTTATCTAAAACCAAGCTTGAAATTCAATAAAGACAACATGCATAAATGGATATGAGTTCTTTTCTTCCAAAACATGATTAATTGAGACAAAATGATATAGAATGTGATGAATTCCCAAACTAAGTTAGAACATTGGCATGCATGAGAAAATTCTTTGGAAAACAACTTCAAAATGCCATGAAATATACATGCATGTATGTCTTGAATTTTAATTCTCCAATCTTAGCTTAATTCTTGTGATTCAACTCTTAATCCACTTGAATTCTAGCATTAACTAACTCAATTACATAACTAAAGGGTTGCATTCTTACCTTAGCTTCTCAATTGAGCTCTAGTTGGCTAATTGTTTAAGTTTTCAAATCAAAACGTTTAAGTCTCGACAATTCCAAGCTTGAGTTCAATTTTTCTAAGCTTCTCTCTCTTACGTTTTTTATGAGGACAAAGATGATCAAATGGATTCTAGGGGCCATATTGGCCTTATATAAGCCCACTTAGTTTAGGTTAATAAAGTAGGATTAAGTTAAGTCATGTTAACTTATTTAATCTAATTTATTCTAATTATTTGGTTTCGAATCAAATTCCAATTAAACCTACCATAATGTTCTAAAAATTTCAAATAACACATAAACCAAGTTAATTCCGTGATCAGATGTCAATAAGGCCTTCAATTCGCATAATGAAATAAGAACACAGACAAATCTTTCTACAACAGACAGATATAATTCTAAATAACATATGACACATGCAATTAATGTATAATTTCATATTAATTACCTATTAGACATTCTTAATCATGGATTATAAACTAATCACAAGTCAAGGTTGTTACAAAATGTGTGCAATTTGTTAGACTTATAAAGTTTTGGACTTTTTTCCTATTTAACTTTTTTAAGCTTTTGTTTGTTTTTGGGTATAAATTCAATTTTTGAAAAGTTGGTTCGTTTGTTTACTTAATTTGTGTCTTTGTGTGTGTGTTTTAAAAAAAATCAATGTTCTGCATTGTGTGTCTGTGTGTTTATAATTTATGTTTTGAAAAAATTAGTTTGTTTGGTTTGTTAATTTTGTGTATGTTTTAAAAAAAAATAAAAATAAAAATATTATGTTTTTAATAAAATTAATTTGTTTGTTTGCTTAGTTTTATGTCTTCAAATTTTATTTTTTTAAAATTGCGAAACAAAAAAAAAATGTTCTATTATTCATATTTGTGCATACACCTTTGAATAGTTTCAAAACCATCACAACAGTCATATCAGAGTCAGTGAGCTTGTTCTCATTCTCCAAATCAAGCAACACATCAACAAAATCACCAGAGCTCTCATCACTCACAACTCCACTGTTCTCAGCCCTCTTCATCCTATGCTTATCTATGATCTTCCCAACATACACATTTACTTACCCAACCAAATCTTCACACCTCTTCCTTACTAATCCATCCAATCCAGAAGAGGAAAATAATCACCCCAATTAAATATCCCAAGAAGCTCATACCCTTCACTCACCAAACCCTCAAGCTCAGACCCCTCACCCCCATTCTTATTCTCACCAAACTCATAAGACCTCCCAAATACATGAGACGTGATTGAGACCCCCATTTCACCCCACCCCCACCACTCCTGCACATATGTGGGGATTGATCATTGGTGAAGAAAAAAAAAAAAAAAACTAACCAATCAGCACGCACTGGGGGTGCTAGGGGTCTCCCCGTGGGGATCCAAAGCTTTTTCCCAAATACACTCATCATCACATTGTTCGAAGTCCCAAAATGAAAAACTCTCTTCACCTCCACAACTCTCTTTTTCTCCATCAAACCCTTTATCCGGTCAATTATTTCAAGTGAAATCATTCTCGGCAGGGTCAGCCCTGGACATAGGCCCACCAAATCATGACTTAGGACCCCTCAAAATACACTCAAGGTCCCTTCTTATTATAATTTAGTGTAATATATTAGGTATGTTTTAAGTCTTAAAAAAATTAAAGAATGACCAAACTAATTTAAAATAAATTGACCTATTGAAAAATTAAAAGACTCATTCAAAATTAAAAAGAGTCACTCTCTCTTCCCATCTAATTCCTAACCTTACCTCTTTTGACACAATTTTTTTGTCTTTTACCTTCAAAAAAATTTTTGGTTGAATAAAAAAAAATGTGAAAAATTCCAAATAATTTAATGATATTTATTAAGCCTGTGTTTGGCAAGGGCTTTTTCAGGCTTTTTTGGCTATTTTAGCCACAAAAAACAAAATAGGCTATTTTAGCCATAACAAACAAAACATCACATCCAACCAAACTAATTTAAAATAAATTGACCTATTGAAAAATTAAAAGACTCATTCAAAATTAAAAAGACTCACTCTCTCTTCCCATCTAATTCCTAACCTTAACTCTTTTGACACAATTTTTTTTTGTCTTTTACCTCCAAAAAAATTTTTGGTTGAATAAAAAAAATGTAAAAAACCCCAAATAATTTAATGATATTTATTAATTAATTATTACCTTTGGGCCCTGAAAATCTTAAAGCCGGGCCTGATTCTCCGAAACCCACCGAAAGAGGCGAGTCGTTTCGGACTAAACAAATGGGTTGCTGAAATCCTCCACAGGTCCCTCCAGTACTCGCCATAGGGAGCGAAACCCATGGCACGGTGAAAGAGAAGCTCGTAGGTTGACTCTTTCACGGGTCGATCGGCGAAGGCCGAGCTGCTGAGAATATCCTTGGCGGTGTCGGGTTGGCTTGAGATTACTAATCGAGTGAACCCAATTGAAAACGCCATTAACGGGACGGCTTTGCAAGTCTTGGAAAGCTTAGCGAGGACTCTATGAGTTAAAGAGCCAGTGAAAGCGAAGACTAGGCCGAGAAGAGGGAGACCTGAAGGTCCAGGAATGGCGGTCCTGGCATGGACTCGAGCCTTAGAGAGAGCCCAAGCGAGGCCACCAGGGGAAAGCCAAAAGACAAAGATAGCAGCGAGAACAACAACGCAGAGAAAGAGCTCGATGTTGAGAATGGATGAGGAGTACCCAGATCGAGGAATGACAAGAAAGTAGTATTCAGAAGACATTTCTGGTGGGTTTCTAGATTGAGAAAGGGAGGCTTCTGGAGACAGACAAAGAAGGGTCGTAGTTATGAAGGTGAGGTGCAATGGAAAGGAAGAGGGAAGATGGAGGAGTGAGGAGAAGATGGAGCATGGGGCTGTTATATAGGGGAGAGTTTTTTTAACTTTTGGACTGATTTTCCCCTGCAGAGTGGCAGTAGGGAGCCCCTGGACAGTGGGGACTACGTGTTTGCTTTTAGAGTAATGCTAGGGAGCTCGAATGAGCTCCTCTCAATTCCCCTAATTTCATTTTATTTTTTCTTTTCAGAAACAGAGAATGAGAAGAGAAGAGAAGGAAGGAGGACGAGGGAGGAGGGGGACTGGAGGGGGCCATAACCACAGGGGGAGGAGGAGGCGGAGGAGGCGGAGGCGGGGCCGGAGCTGCGACGAGCTGACGGACTGCGATGGGTGACGGGCTGCTGCTGCGACGAACGGGCTGCGACGAACTGACAATCGACGATCGGAGTTGCTGCTGCGACGACGGCAGTCGGAGGCAGTCAGAGCTGCTGCTCCCCTCTTTTCTCTCCCTCTCCCTCTTTCTCTTCCTCTCCCTCCCTCTCCCTCTCCCTCTCCCTCTGTCTCAGACTCGTTGAAGAAGAAGAAAAAGAAGAAAAAAAAAAAGAATGCCTAAAACGACGTCGTTTTGGGTATTTGGGGGATTAGGGGGGAAATTTGAGCGACGAAGCTTTATTCTTGCTTTTATTCTCAAACCATAATTATATTCTACTATAATTTTTTTTTCTCTATCGCTGACTGAACTGATCACGTCAGTACCATCATTTGAGCCAACTTTTTGATTTGTATTAATTTTTGTATATTAATTTTTTAATATTTTTTTTTTGTAAATAATAATAACTTTTTAATTTTTTGTATAATTTTTTAATTTTTAACTTTTTTTAAAGTTACCAAATCAGCCTTTAAAATCATATGTATTTCTACTCTAAAAATTGTGTTTTTTTTGTTAGGTTGTCGTATGATTATACTTGTATCTTATATTTGTGATGGGTAAGATAGAGAAAGTGAAATGAGAGGGGCAAAAAAACTAATTTATGTTACATCCTAACTTTAATAATTGAGCCATAAGGCTGAGTTAAAAGTAAAAGCAAAAGCAAAGTGACCCACCCACATCACATGGGTTGTGGGGTTGGGTCAATCGAAGGACAAATGCACCTTCCTTTGTCCGGTGGGTAGATACATACATACATACAAATTGTACGAAAATGACAACTACTTTTTATTTTTGTTTTTTTTTTTCAGCTTTAAAAAAGTAAAAGTTTTTTTTTTTTTTTTTAGAGAGAATAAGCAATTACACAGAAGAAGACGCCTCAGACATCACCAACGCCATTAAAGAGGAAGGAACCTCCTCCATCCAAATACGTGGCGACTTAAAATCAAAGGCTAGCCTACTTAAACAATGAGTCACCGAATTGCCATCTCGACAAACATGCGAAACTTCTGAAGAAAGGAACCTCAACAGGAGCGCTTGAGCCACATCTACAAAATGACCATAGCAAGATAAGTTATCCGCCTTACCTTGAATTGCAGCCACCACATTTTGAGAATCACTTTCCAGATGAATATGTCCCAATCCCAAATCACAACCCAATTGAAGAGCTTTTATCGCACCCATAGCTTCCACACAATCAACATCCTCCATATACTGGATCCGCTCAACCATAGACGCAATGACTTCCCCATGACAGTCCTGAATAATAATGCCAACACCAGCACTGGCATGGGCCGTTCTAACAGAGCCATCAAAATTCAGTTTGAAGACACCCTCACGTGGCGCAACCCACCTTCGCATCCGAACCTGGGCCGGAGGAAGATGGCCACGCTCTTGTGCTTGAACATATTCAGAAACATAATTCACCGCGAAAGAAACCACTTCCTCCACAGTCCTTGATTTATTGCCAAACAGAATGGAGTTTCTATTATTCCAAAGGCACCAACAAATAGCAATAAATAATTGCATGGGTTCTGGACCATTTGTGGCCATGAGTTGGCAGACCCACTCAAAACAATTGTTAACAGGATTAGATTTGATAATCAAATTAAGTGAGCTCGATCTCCACACTTGCATGGCAAAGCCACAGTTGTGAAAACAATGGCCAACTGTTTCAATCTCCACTCCACACCCAGGACATAAATCCATATTGACAATATGACGTTTCCGCAAATTGGCCCTTACCGCTAACAACCCGAGGCACATTTTCTAGCCAAAAATCTTAAGTTTGGTCGGTAAATTAAGCTGCCAAAGACCTCGCCAGAACTGCCGATGCGACTGCCCAATATTGGAGGTATCACCGTGGCCATCCACAGATGCCATATCCTTACACAAATGATATGCCGATCGAACCGAAAACTCACCATTTCGGGAAAAATGCCAGACCAATTTATCCGAAGGTAACGTGGGACAAAGAGGAATGCATCGGATAGCCTCCACATCCATGCCCAAAAAGTTTTGCGTAAGCATCTCATCATACCATGCTCCCTTCTCAGAATCAATTAAATCACAAACCCGCGCATCATCCGAAAGATTCGAAGGTGGCAAAATTACCTTAAAAGAATGAGGCCGTGGAACCCATTTATCATACTTAACCGAGATGCTTGCACCATTTCCAACACGCCATCGAAGCCCAGCATTTAATAGGCTTCGAGATCCGACTATACTCCTCCAGGTGAATGATGGATTGCTCCCGACCAAAGCATCAAGAAATGAAGTTTATGGAAAGTACCTAGCCTTAAAGACCTGCGCAACCAAAGATTGAGGCCGTTGCATTAATCGCCAACACTGTTTGGCCAACAAAGCTGAATTGAAATGTTGAAGGCACCGGAATCCCATACCACCCCGTAATTTAGATTTACACAATTGTTTCCAACTAGTCCAATGAATTTTACGGGTTTCCTCTTTTTGTCCCCACCAAAAATTGCACACCATAGACTCAATTTCATGGCACACTCCATCTGGGAGGCGAAAGCAGGACATAATATAAGTGGGTATGGCTTGAGCAACAGACTTAATGAGGACCTCTCTACCCGCCATCGATAAAAAATTTTCCTTCCAACCATTTAAACGAGACCATACGCACTCCTTGACAAACCCCAAAACGGCGCGCTTAAAATGCCCCACACAATATGGTAATCCCAAATACTTCCCATACGGCGCCAAAGACCCCACCCCAAGAATAGATGTCACCACTCGCTGAGTAACCAAGTCCGTATTTTTACTAAAGCAAACCACCGATTTTTGAAAATTAACTTTTTGCCCCGATGCTTGCTCATATTTGTGGAGAATCTCTCTCAAAACACCTGCCTCACCTTCCTTAGCAGCCGCAAAGAGAAGACTATCATCGGCAAAAAATAAATGTGACAAGCGTGGACTACCCTCATATTTGTGGAGAATCTCTCTCAAAACACCTGCCTCACCTTCCTTAGCAGCCGCAAAGAGAAGACTATCATCGGCAAAAAATAAATGTGACAAGCGTGGACTACCCCGGCAAATTGAAATTCCGGACAACCGGTTAGCTGCCATGGCATGGTCGAGAAGTGCCGACATTCCTTCCGCACAGATAGTAAACAAATAAGGCGAAAGAGGATCCCCTTGGCGGAGGCCCCTTGTTGGGTAAAACATGCTAGAAGGCTTTCCATTAACAAGCACGGAAAACGATACAGTGGACACACAGTTCATAAGTAGTTGCACAAATCGTGGCGGAAATCCTAGCAGGAGCATCATCTGATTAAGAAATGGCCATTCCACTCGGTCATAGGCTTTACTCATGTCAAGTTTTAACGCCATGCAACCACCCTTTCCGGACCTCTTATTCTTAAGAAAATGGAACACTTCAAATGCCACCAACGCATTATCAGTAATGAGACGGCCCGGAATAAACGCACTTTGAGTGTCGGAAATGACAGAAGGCAGCACCTCTTTAAGACGATTGGCCAACATTTTTGCAATTATTTTATAAACAACATTACACAAGCTAATTGGCCGAAACTCTGACATGAGCTTGGCATTCTTAATTTTAGGGATCAATACAATGAAAGTATGATTAATATGTGAAATTTCATCAACCCCATTCAACACCCCAAGCACCGCAGAAGTCACACTAGGACCCACTACGGGCCAAAATTTTTGAAAGAATAAAGCAGGCTTACCATCGGGCCCGGGAGCCTTTGTTGGGTGCATTTGGAATAGCGCATGGTGGAGCTCGACTTCAGAAAATGGTCTACTCAAATGAGATGCACTGTGATCGGGAACTCTCGCCTGAATCAACTGCAATACTGGCCCCATGTTCAGTCCCTCACCCGCCGAAAATAATTCCTGAAAATAATTCACAAAGTTGTCCTCCACCACTCTTTGATCCTCCTGCCAAATGCCATTAGGGTCAACAATGCCAGCAATTTTCTTCTTCTTATGACGTTGGGTGGCCTTGGAATGAAAAAACGAAGTATTACGGTCCCCATCCTTAAGCCAATTAGCCCTAGCACGTTGACCCTAAAAAATAGATTCCCGTCCCAAAATCTCATCAATATCACTACGTAGCTTATCCATGTCTGCAACATCGGTCGGAGAATTGGAACTGTGCGTAAGTAACCGCTGTAATTGCTCGGTTTTCTCCTTCAACTGTCGCTTGACACACCCAAAAACATTACGATCCCACCGACGCAGCGAAGAACTTACACTTGTAATATTAGAGACCAAATTTCGAACATCCGCATTAGAAGAAGACAACCAATTATCAGCAACTATTTGCTCACAACTTGCATGCCGTAGCCACATAGCTTCGAACCGATACATGCGATGGCCACTAGCAGGAGGTTGACGTTTATCTTTAGCCCCACAAATGTCAACACAGATCGGTAGGTGATCCGAGGATGTGCACGCTATAGGATAAACCTTTGCACGTGGAAACAAGAGTTGCCAAGCATCATTAGCAAACCCACGGTCCAATCGCTCCCGAACCAAATCGTTGCCACCGCGGTTATTGGACCAAGTGAAAATTGGCCCAACAAAACCCAGATCAGCCAGGTGTGCATTTGTGATCACATTCCGAAAATGTTCCATTTGGGATGGACTACGCCCCATGACACCACACTTCTCGCGGCTAAACAAAATTTCATTGAAATCCCCCGCACAAAG